CGGCCTGGTGGCTGAGCGGCCTCGTGCTCGGGGAACCCCCACCTCTGGGGGCCGCGCCCCGCTCTCCCGGAGTTCCCCGCGGCACTCCCCTGCCTCCGGCCCCGCTCTCCCGGGAAACCCCGGCGTGCCAGGCCCTTTGAAGTCGGGGCCCCCGCCAGGCCTGCAGGGCTCCCACCTTGGCTTCAAAGGCCAGAGTTTCAGAACTGGGGGCGGCGGGCAGGCAGGGCCCGGGCGTGGGCGTGGGCGGGTGGGGGTGAGCGAGGGAGCTCCCAAGGTGAAGTGACCTTGGGGTTTGGGGAACAGGAAGAAGCTGATGTGAGATAATGTGAAGGAAGTTGGGGGGGGGGGGGGGGGGAAGGGGACTTGTGCCAGGATCTCTGTGACCCCCATCCTGGAGGGTGAGCCCGAGACAGAGAGGAGACGCGTGGCCCATCCTCACCTTAGTGTGTCCACTGTGGCAGCAGCCATCCAGCCAGTCTGCCCCAGCCAGTGGGCGCCCTCCTGCAATTCAGGAAACCTGGCTAGCCCGGGCCAGGCTGGGGACACATAGCACTTGTCCCAGGAGGCAAGAGCAGGGCCAGAGGGAGGATGGAGGGCACCGGAGGGCAGAAACAGAACTTCAGAAGTCAAGCGCAGGGAGAAGCGCGGTTTGAAGGCGTGGGCGGTTCCTGGAGAAATTGGGGTCATGCACCACACCAGGCTGAAGGTACATTGCCCTGTGTGGGTACCTGGCCCTGTGTGGGTACCTGGCCATGCTGGGTGGGGACCATCCTACCTTCGCCCCCTCCACTGGCCCCTTCTCCAGGCCAAGAGCCAATTCAAGCGGAGGTCAACAGCCAACAACGTGGAGATCCACATCCCTGTGCCCAACGATGCTGATTCACCCAAGTTCAAGACTACAGTGGGCAGTGTCAAGTGGGTCCCTGAAAACAGCGAGATTGTGTGGTCCATCAAGTCCTTCCCGGTGAGCATCCAAGGTGGCGGGACCCTTCCAGACTTCTGACCCCAGCCCACAGACGCCTTTTGCCTGGCACAGTGCTAAGAGATGACCTTTGTTTGTAAACTAGTTTTTCAGCAGCAGGACAGCCTTCCCTCACTCTCGCTCTCGAATGCCTCACGTCTTGGAGGCCAAGCACCTCCAGTCAGGGGAGCCATGCCAGCTCCTCCCTGCTGGCTGCCTGGCTCATGCTCAAGGAGTTGTGCTCTGAAGTCTGGGTTCGCAGTGGGCACACACCAAGGCAGGGGGTGCCGTGTGCCCGCCCTGGTGCCCGCTATCGGCGTTTGCATTCCTTTCTCTGCACACCCTGGTAGCTACCTGCCTCTTGCTTATCTTTCTGTCTGTCTGGTCATTTTCTTCTCTGTTTCCAAGAGCCCTTGATACAGGGCAAGATTTTCTTTTTATGTAAGGAATTTTTCTTTGAGATAAGTTGCAAATTGTTCCTCAGTTTAGAGTTTGTTTTTTGACTTTGCTTCCGGTTGACTTTGCTTTTGATTTTTGCTATGTGACCTTTTCTGATTGTTCTTTGTTTTACTATTATTGTTTAAAATAGTCAGATTTATCCATCTTTTTCTTTTATTGTATCTGGAACTTAGTCCTGCTTTGAAAGGCTTCCCTATTCCTGGTTATAAAGAAATCCACCCATGTTTCCTTCTAGAACCTGTGTAGTGGTACTTTTCACCTTAGATTTTAGATCCTTTCAAAGCCATCTGGGGTGAGATACAGATCCAGTTTTATCTTTTCCCAAATGACCAGTTTTCTGACATCATGTACAAAATAGGTGGTCCCTCCCCAGTGGTTTGAAATACATGTCTACTAAGTATCAGATGTTCACACAACATTCTATCTGTTTCGATCTGTGCACTAAGGCTATCTTTTAACCAGAAGGTTTAATCTGTTTTAACATCTACTAGACCAGCCCTAGCTCCACCCCAACCCCCCAAACCTATTGCTCATTTCTTTTCTGACACTTCTTGCCTGTTTCATTTTCCATACAAATTTCGGAAGCAGTTTACCCTAAATTTGAAGGAGGATTTAACACTCTGGCTGAGTTGTCCTGCCCAGGAGCCCTGTGCCTGTGTCACTCTGTGCCTGTGAGGACGGCTTTGAGACTGGTCTTGTATACCTCGTGAGCTTCCCATAGCTGTCAAAAACACTTGCATTGAAGCACAACATGCAGGAAAGTACACCAACTTATGGGGGATGGCTCCAGTGAATTTCCTCAGGGAACGCATCTGTGTGTCTGGATCCACAGAGAAGCTCAAGGCTCTCCGCTGGGTGCCTGCGTTTCTCGTGAAGGCTGCCTCTGAGGCAGGTAAACGGGTCTTCCACTTCATCCTGTCTCCTAACAAGTCACTGATGTTTCTGTGGCAACTTTATATGCGGTGCTTTTATTGGGTTTCCTCGGAGGCAGCAATTTTTTTTCTGTTCTTGTGAGTTTTCAGATCTTCTCTCAGACCATTTGCAACCTTTTCCCTTTTCCTCTTCTGTTCTGGGTTCTGGTAGCAAAGTGCTTCCAGGCTGTGAGGGCCTGTGAGGGCGAACCTAGGCCGCCCCTGACACCACCAGGTGTCCCCTCTAGGTGAGAGCTGCCTGGACTGCATGCTCGGTCCAGTCCAACTTTCCTGTGTTTTTAGCATAGAAGGGCAGTGAATTCAGCCACGTGCCTCTTCAGCATCTGTCAGTTCATATCTTACTGGGCTGCATCCAAACCACCCATGCGCTCTGGTTAGTTACCACCTGATAAAGTTTTCTTTTGGATGCTGTTTTGAATTCTGGTGGTCAGCTTTGTATGTAGGACTTATTTGCTCCTTATTCGTAACTGAGATTGATTTTTTTTGGTATAGTCTCCATCAGCTATCAAACCCATTTCATAATTTTGTTGTCCCCCTTTCCCGAACTCTAAGTCTGTCTCAGTCTGCAGAATTAAACCCTGTTGCAGGGCCATGGCTCCACGGACAATGTGGGGCTGTGCCTCTGTGTTTCCTTCCTTTTCCCTGCTGTCCTCTTGAGCTCAGGCTTAGCTGATGGGGCCGAGTTGTATTCCCTCCACCTGCTTTGTCATGGGGCCCAGCCACATGGCATTCCTTCACATCCCAGCGTCTTTCCTCAGCTCGTGGTTCCTCTCTCACTGACTGCTCCCTCCACTGGGAGGAGAGCCTGAGCCTGGCCTGCTTGGAGCAGAAGCTGCCCTGTCAGCAGTGAGCTTGCTGCCAGCGGCCAGGAGTGGTGAGACTGGGCCCTTGGACAGCAGGCCAAGACTCCCTGCTCCTCGTGGCTAGAGGCGGGTTCCCTTCACTCTTGGCACTGCTCTGAGTCCATCTCTAAAGTCATTGTTCAGCTTCCGGAGCCAAGGCCACACCCCCTTATTTACCCTTCCTGTGCCATCTCCCTCACCCTGACATCCCCCTTTGCTTTCATACTGGCACATGAGGGTGTCCCCTTGGCCCTGTGCCAGGGAGGGTTGGGGCCCTCATCCCACAACTGCTGCTCCTGCACTGTGTAAATGCTCACCCTCTTTCGTCTTCCCTCCCAAGGCCAGGTAGTCTCATTTTCCTTGGAACAACTAGTCTAGTTTCGGAAACTTTCTCTTGATCCTTAGCCCATCATGAATTTCCCCAGAATGGCCCCTCCGCCCGCCCGTGAGGTTTGTTAGGGTAGCTGAGCACAGCATGATCCCAGACCACACAGGACAGGGCTCAGGCAGTCAGCGCTTCTCCAAGGCAGCTGTTGGCCAGGCTAGGCTGGGGCCTCAGCTTGACCACATCCACTCTTGTTTGCTCCCCAGGGTGGCAAGGAATACCTGATGCGGGCACACTTCGGCCTGCCCAGTGTGGAGGCAGAAGACAAGGAGGGCAAACCCCCAATCAGTGTCAAGTTTGAGATCCCCTATTTCACTACCTCTGGCATCCAGGTGAGTACAGCCAGGACTACCGGCCAGAGCGAACGTGGACGAGCCAGGGGAGCATCGTGGGGATTCTGGGGACTCTGGTGGCACACATCAGTGTGCCCGGCAGCTTGAGTCCTGCCATGCTGCCCCAGCTCTGCCCCTCCATGTGGGCAGCAGGGCTTCAGGGGAAGAGGCCTGCACCCATCTTCTCAAACACGGCTCTGTGCTTTGCACCAGCTCAGGGACACATTTGCTCATAAATTGGAGTTGAACCTCTGGTGTCCACATGCTTTTGGCACCCATTTTCCTAGCTACCTCAGAAAATCTGTAGGGAGAGGAGAACCCCAGCTCTTCCCCAGAATCTGCTAGAGGGCCCCATTAATAGGCCAGCATCCCAGCCCCACCGTGTCTTCTAGAAGTGGCCCTGCCTCCCAGGGCTCCTCTCCACCACCACCACTACCCCTGGGCAATGCTCACTCACTCTGCCTCAAAGCCTCCCTCACCCAGTACACCATGATAGCGGTGGTTTTGGGGGAGTCCGGGAAGAAGCATATGTGTGTTCAGGGTCCTGGTACCTGTGCTCCAGGTGCGGTATCTGAAGATCATCGAGAAGAGCGGCTACCAGGCTCTCCCTTGGGTCCGCTACATCACTCAGAATGGAGGTATGTGCAGCCCCTGCTGTGGTGGTGGGAGGCATTGCTGAGAGAGGGTCTCCCTTGGCCTGTGCCATTGTCCCCGGGGTGGGCAGGGTCTGGCGGGTGGGGTGGCCACCCCAGTGAAAAACAGCTTGGCCCGTCTCTCCATCTAGATTACCAGCTCCGGACCCAGTGAGGGACCATGGCCAATGCCCGGCCCTGGCACCGGGGCTCCTGGTGGGAGCACCAGGAGGGAGCTCCTGCCAAGCACGCCAAAGGTGGGGGTACCCTCCTGGCCCTACCCAGGGACCCCTCCTCCTCGGGGTACAACTGCTCTGCGTTGCTACTCTCGCTCCGAAGTCCTTCTCTCCCAGAAAGGCTTGTTTTCGAGAAGTCCGTCTCTCTGCTCCCTTGAGTCTGTTTTGGGGAAAGGGAATGAAATGCTTCCCTCCTAGAGGTAACATACAGCCTGTGTGTTTAGCCTCCTGGGCACCAGAAAGTCTGAGAAACGCTCCCCAGGCCTCTGGCTGCTCCTGGCATCTCTTTACCGGGGGTGGTAGCCTCTCGGCACAGGCCGCACCGCCATACTGTCGCCATTCTGTTGGCCATCGTGGGCTTGAATGTGTCAGGACGTTGTCTTGTTTATTTGTTGCTGTTTACGTTACCCTCACTGTCCACACCCTGGCCCTCTCCTGAAGCACTTGGGCAGCACTTGTGAGGGCAGGCCCCCCGCCCCTCCTCACCTTCCAGCCCTCAGCGGCCACCCCATCTGTTGGGCCAACACCCGCGCTTCCGTGGTGCCACTGTTCTGGGGGTTTCTGGCCAGGACCCAGAGGCTTCCTCCCACAGGGTGCCTGTCTAGGCCAGCCCGTGCCACGTGCTGCTGTCACTCAGCCACATCAGTGTTCTCCCCACCTGGGAGGTGGGGTCCAGCCAGGCTCTGGCCTATACCTTGGAGGGTGTTGGGGGGGCACATGTTATCCATGTTTATGTTCTTGCCATGATTATATTAAATTCCATTCATTAATGTGCTACCTGCCTCTTTCCTGATTCACCACCCAAAGGTTCTCCTGGGTGACCAGGGGCACATGTGTGGCTCACCTGGCTCCACCACCAACCTGCTGGTGGCCCCACATGGTGGCACCACCCTAGAGGTTCATGGACCCACCCTAACCTGCCAAGTGGAATCTCTAGGGACGGGACCCAGGAAACCAGTGGAATCCCCGCCTGGCTTGTATTCACACAGGAGTTGGTGAACGGCTGCCCATCCCACAGAGGGACAGGGCTGTATGTGGGCCAGAGGTGCCCTTTCTTCCCACCATGGCACCTGCACTCATTCCTACACCCCGTCTTCCCACTGCAGTACTTACCCCCCTACCCCCAATGCTGGTGGTCCTGAGTCACCCACTGCCTCACACGTTCAAGGGCTGTGCACCCCTTCTCTCCCGCGTTACCCAGCACCCCATTGGGAATGTCCTGATGCCCACCCATTGCTGCCCACACCCACATCTGCAGCCAGTCCTCATGGCTTCCCTCTAGAAACCTGGGTCTGAACCTGTTTTCTGTCTCACCACTGCCCCTGGAGGCCAGACTCCAGCTGCCAGAGTTCCTGGGGCAGTCAGCTGCGGGGAACAGCAGGCTCTGTCTGGGACTAAAAATACACAGAAGTGTGCAAAATAAAAAGTGCACAACATAAGGCAAGGGGTCTGCATGAGCCCCAACAGAAGGGCATGTGGGAGGCTTGGTGTGAGCTGGCGCAGGCACTGCTCTTGGGAGCCAGGGCTGAGGCTGAGGTGGGGCTCAGGCCTGCGGAGCCCGCGCTTGAGGCTGAAGTCCCGGAGGGCCGTCGTTTTGCTCATGCTGGAAAGCAGGTAGGGCAAGCTGCTGCCTCCCGGCCCCAGGAAAGGCAGTTTGCTCTCTCGGCTGGTAGACAAATTCCCCCCTGACGTCCTGTGACCACTAGTTAGAGAGTAAAGTGCTGTCTACACAGTGTGCAAGTGCAGAGCCAAGGCGCTACTGAGAAGCTCCCCAAGGAACGCGACTGCGAGGTCCTCGCCTGTGGGGCCACCTGAGTGCACACCTGGAGAGTGAGTCTGCAGGCAGTGTAGACGGGCTCACACTCATACCTTTTTATGAGAGCACTCCTGGATGTGTGGGTGGGCAGTGAATACATTGAGTGATTAAAGGCAAAAGAAAGGCTCCGGGCCCTCCCTGGTGGCGCAGCAGGTTAAAGCACAGCACTAAGAAGCTAAAGCCATTGCAGCATGAGTTCGATCCCCACCTGCCCCA